CTATTGTTTGTGCTTTTAATAAGCAGAGGTTTTTAGAGAAATAAGCCAGCTAAATTGGCTTTTATTTTTGCCTCTTTCATTATCCCTGCTCCTGGCCAGTGAATCAAGGCACAGTGTGATGGGAAGGGGGAGTACATCTCTGTTTTCTTGCTGCAGCCTATGGCTTACCCTTCACTGTGAGGAAGAATTGCTCTGTGTGCTTGTGCTCTGTGTACCCTCTTTCCTCATCACAAGTGTGAGCACATAGTGTTTCCTCCCGGCTTCCTCCCAAGCCGATGAATGCCATCAGGAGAGACCCAGGGTGTTGCTGGTGCTGCCCTGGCCTCAGTGCCTTTGCAGAGTGCCCGCTTCCTCAGTGCACGTTCCCTGCGTTGAGAATGAGAAAGTAGGTTGACATCACAGTCTGAAGAGACTGCCAGTTCCACGGAGCCCATTGTGCTCCCGGTGCTGGCTCAGCATAGTTCCAGGCTTCCGGGAGGCTTCTGGGAGGCTGGGGCTGCTGCAGTAGTCCTGAGCGGAGCTCCGAAGGGGATCTGCCGTGCCAATGGAAGGTGATTTTAATCTCATTAGGGATGCAGACAATGCACTGTCATCCCTGGAAGGAACTTCAGTGGCTCAGGCTTATGACTTACTTAAATGTGGAGGCATTGCTCCCTTAGTGACACAGGGAAGTTCCTGAAGTGCAGATACTTCCAGGTATATCCCGGGGGGGGTCCTCCTCTGATCTGGGGGTGCTGGGACTTTGAGAGCGTTTGGAGAATTTGCTTAGAGGCTTTTGTCATAGTTTTTGTTGTTGCTTTTCTTCCTAGTCTTTATGGCCTCAGTTTTATTTCCTAAATCTTTTTTTTTTCTCGTTTTCTCTGGCTGGAGTTAAGTTTTACTCAGTGAAAGGGAAAACTTCAAGCTATTGATGAGTGAACCACTGGCGAGAACAGCAAAGGAGGATTTTATTTCAAGGTTCCTTACATGCCAGTGACAGACAGTGGCCTCTCCTGAGTCCCCTTGCCCAGGAGACCCGCCGCCAGCCTCTGACCGTATTTTACATGTATTCACGAAGGGAGGTGGGTGGAGCCTTGCGGGAGCTGGCAGCTCCTCTAGGCCGGGAAGCCGCTGAATCCACTCAGAATCCACTCGGAACGTGCCCCAACGCCACCAGAATCCCTCTCGTCCCTTCTCAAGCCCTTGTTCACGTCACACCCCAGAACAGTGCCCATTGGGCCAGAGCTTCACAGGCCCACGTGGGCACAAAGATCAGTCCTCTTTGGAGAGGTTAAATCAAGCCATTCAGTACAACATGGGACCAGGAAATAATAAATCAACTGTTCTGCTTTTAAACTCTGTGGGCTGAAGGAAAAGAAAGAAAGGAAGCGGCCTCGTGGTCTCCCTGTCATGGCAGCTGCCCGGTGTCTGTGCAGTGCCTGCAGGGAGGGGCGGGGCCGGCCCCCCGTCTGGGCCTGAGGGGGTCCGCCGGGAGCAGTTGGGGGGGTGGGCAAAGCCAGCATCACTTTCCTCTTTGGCTGCTCTGCCTGCCACCAGCTTCATAAAGAAGGTTCTCTCTCCTTCTCCGTGCCTTGGTGTGTACTCTACGAGAGCTCCTGGCACATTATCCATTTCCTGAACTACCCAGCTAGAGCTTCCCCTGTCTCAGTTTCCAAAAAAAGCAAGGGACCCAAGTGCAGAAACCCAGCTAAGAATATATGTTTTATGTAACGGAGACAAAGATGCAGTTCAGGTGCAGACTTTATTGGAAACCCATCTTCCCAGATGAGTCCCCCTAAACACCAGCATGCTGCTTCCGGGCTGTCCCCCGGCCCATCAGCTTGGCTTTTGATCCAGCTATTTTGGGAGGCTTTTCCCTCTTTGGCTGGTACCACACTCTGTGCGCACACACATGCGTGCGCACGCGCGCACACACACACGCACGAGCGCTTTCTCTTTTGCTGCCTCGGGCAGCCCTGCCCTCCCTGGACTGCCCAGGAATCTACTTGCCCTTGGGAAACAGGCTCTTTATTAAGACTTTCAAATTCAAGGAAAGGGAAAGACCCTGGTGCTCATGTGGCCCACGGAGCTGCTGGCCAGTAAGACTTTAGCCCATCAATCTACACTTACATAAGAATAAATTTACCTTGGTAACCCCTAGAAATTAATGCCTAGTGTCAGGATTTCCAGGAGTCCCTTGTAGGAGGTGAAATGAATATTTACTGAGGGGATCCTGATGGGGCTGGTCAGTATGACAACCAGTGAGGAGATTGTGCCCACATTTTCAAGAGCAAGAAGCTGACAAGTTGAGGACTGCTAAATCTAGTGAGCCAGGGTGTCAGTGACAGTGTCTGGAAACTGAGAGCCCAAAGGCTTTCTATTCTCTCTGGGGCATGGGGGAGGCTTCCTCCTGCCCTCAGCTCACTCCTGTCAAGGCCATGCTGACTGTGGGGAGTGGCGAGGGCAGTGTGTTGCTAAGGGATGCAGGCATGGTGTCACCAAGTCCAGTCCTCACCGTCCGTCCTGTCCACAACAGGTGGCCAGCGTCTCTGCAGACATGGCAAGTCCCATAGCCTGGTTTCCTGTGTTGGATTTAGAGCAGACCTTGTTTGCTGCTCCTGTTTGATCCTGTTCTGATGCGGCTGGTTGCCTCCTGTCTCTGGGAACCCTCCTCTGGCTAAGCTGTGTTGGCTGAGCTGTGACTATCAGAAGGTTCTGGTTTGTTCGAATGCAAGACTGCACACAGTGCTTTAAACCAGCATCCTGCTCTGCTGTTTGCCACTCTTACTGCGGGTGCTCCCAGGTCAAAGTAGGCACACGCCCAGGCTTGGTAGCTTGGATTGGGCGCCGGCAGGGGGCCTGGGGGGTGGGGAAGGCATCTGAGCCCTGACTGCCTGTGGGAAGCTGCCCTGATGGAGCTAATTGACTGTGCTGTATTCAACCAGAACATTCTGTGGTTGGGGTTTTGCCTTTAAGGAATGTCTTTAGTTCACTGCTCTCTCTCAGTCTGTCCATCAGATGCCAACCATGCCCTCTCTACCTGGTGACCAAGGGAGGATGGCTTTGCATCCACCTTTGGGTGAAGGCAGCTTTCAGAAGGGAGAGACAGCTTTGGGCTCACAGGGGATCTGGTTTTCATGTGACTTCATCACCTGGTTTCTGATACACACCTGCTGTCAATATCCAGAGAGCTTGTTGGCAGGGCACTTTTTCTCACAATGCCCTGCAGTTACCATGTTTCAGAGGCACTTTATATAGGAGAAGTTGGTGGCAGAGAGGAGAATCTGAGCTAAATTGAAATATAATGAATTCTATACTTGTTCTCCCTGCCTACAGAAGAATTTTTCCTTTGGTTTTGTTCATTTCACTTTTGCTACATGGAGGCTCCAAAGAGATGCCTATGGAAGGGGCTCTGTGGCAAAATGGGGCTCCCCTTCATGTCCCTGGCAGGGCCACGTGCCTGGTTCTTTGAGCTTCTAGCATTTGGGCAGGGTCCAGGCTGAGGGACTGAGGGCCGTGGCCAGTTGTCCGAAACCTGTGATATGTCACAAGGATCAGGGAATCAGGCTAAGGCACCCATGTTCTCAGGCACCCTAAGAGCTTTCTCTGCTTTATTCTCTCCCCCACCCCCAATGCCTCAGCCAGAGAGATCCTTCCCCAATGATGCCCTGCATGTGGTGTTTTTTTTTTGGTAGAGAGATGCTTGTGATATTGACCATTTTTGAGAGCAGAGGGGTTCTTTAGGGTCTTTTCATTCTAAATTCTCTGCAGATTTTTGGGAGTAAATGCATTCCTGTGACTCTCCTGGTGGTTATTTATAAACACACAGTGCACTAACTAGGCTTTGCAACCCCATCACTTAGCCTTCTCCTTAGTGGAAAAACCATGCAAACTGTCACCTTAAACTCCAGGGCTGGTGCACGGTCTCTGCTGACCCTCGGCCAGGATGCCAGGCACAGAGAATGAGGGGGCATGAGGCTCTGGTCAGGGGGCTGCATGGGCCCCGTTGAGGGACCCAGGTCGGGGGTCAGCATGCTGTGTGCCCAGGTGGAATTTAGGAATGGGCAGCTGGTGGGTGAGCCAACCCACACGCCCAGGGCCGCAGGGCATGAGAGGGAACGCTGAGCAAGCAGCAGCCAGGCTACGGCGGTGGAAGGGAACAGGGTGGGCAGCCGGCTGGCGGGGCCTGTGCCGCAGGGCAGCTCGGCTGTTCCCCCCACGGGTTCTGGGGAGTGTGTGGGCAGCACAGAGCCCTGCATTTCCCTGAGAAGCTGGAAAAATAAGCTCCGCTGTGTCGTCTGGGGGAGTCAGAGTGAGAAGAGCTTCTGTGGTGGGTTCTGGGCAGCCCTGGAAGCAAGGGAGCGGGTGTCCTGCTGTCACCACGTACATTGTCTAAGGCTGTGAAGTTCACAGGGCAGTTCCTTTACTCTTCACGCTGCCCTGTGGGGCCTCGCGGGCCGTTACCTCTCTACCTATGAGGGCAGTGCTCAGGGCCCAGGTGCCCCCAGGAGGCTCGGTTCCAAGTCCACATCCTCTGGGAACAGAGAGCAACCCAGGTCTGAATGGTGGTAGGGCAGAGGGAGCTGGCTGTCATGAGCTCAGGGGCCAAGGAAGGGCTATGGTGGGAGTGTCAGCCGCTGAACCTGCACATCTGGGCTTAGTCCCAGCTCTGTGCCGTCGCTGCTGAGCTCAGAATGTTCATCTGTGAAGTGGGTCCGGGGACATCTTGCACATAAAGTGCTGACCCACAGGAGGTGATGGTGGATGGGGGCTGATGGGTCGTCTAGGGCCAAAGGAAGCACGTGGGAGAAGCCGCCTGCAGCCCTCCATAGGGCGGGGAACAGGGAGGAAGGCAGCAACACGAGGACTTGGCCTGGGATGGCTTATGCACGCCCAGCAGCCTTGTACAGTGCCGGGTGCGGCACCGTGCTGGCTTCTGACATGTTCTGCTCTGTTACACAGATCTGGGAGTCAAGCCCAGGGAGCAGCCTTTCATTTGGAGTGATGTGGATGGGGGAGAGAACCCCTGCTGCGTAGAACAAGACACTGATGAGGAGGTGATCGTCCCGTTTCTGGGCTCAGGAAGCCTGCATCCTCACCTTGTGCTGAACAGCATGTAGCAGGGGCACTCATCAGTCGTGAAGATGGCATTTTGTTTGTTTGCCCTGTAGTGGGAGCAGAGCAGTAAAATGCTTTGGGAGGGATCTTCTCTGACCTAGACATGTATGTGTGCCTGCCTGCCTGCCCTGTGTGGGGTGGGGACACGGCCACCTCCTAGCCCCAGCAAAAAGCTGGAAAGCAGGGCAACGCCAGTGGACTCTTGTAAAAGGGGCGAGGGGATACTCAAGTGGAAGTGCATGGGACAGTAAGAAGTCTTTATCTGGCCTTTGGCACTGTGTGTGCTGGTGAGCCCCCACCCCAGCTGAGCAAGTCAAGGTGAGGACCCTGCTACCTGGCAGGAAGCCCCTACCTTTGCTCATCACACATGGCAAACTCCTCGTGCTTCCTTCCTTCTCTGTTTTGTTTAGAGATGCAGGTTACCCAGAGTGGCCATGTGGCTGTGTGTGCATCCCTCACAGATGGAGGGTTTCCATCCACGCAGCCTGAGAAAGCCATGTCTGTGTTGTCTTTATGCCCATTGACTGAAATCCGTGCCACATCACGCAGATCTTTACTGCCCTGGAAAGCGGCTGAGGAAGAGGGCAGTCACGCTGTGAGCCAGGTGATGCCACAGCAGGGGAGACAGAGATCGCTGGATGGGGTGGGTCCTTCCCATGGAGCTCAGGCCAGCTTCAGCGTGGCAGGCACAGGAGGGTGCAGGAGCAGTCCCGGGCCATGAATGACACCCTTCAGGATGTGGCAGGGGGTGGATTCAGGAAGGGGCCCATGGGCCTGCACCCCCACCGCAGAGTGACCCTGCACACATGTCTGCTGGAGGTAGCCCACCTGGCATTCAAGGAACACCCAGAGAGCAGCTGGGGTCTCTGGTTTCCTCTGCCTGTGGCAGGGGTGCAGCAGGTGGCTTTCTGAGCTTTCTGAGCAGAGCAGGGGCTGCAGTAAGTTCAATGTAGTGAAGTCAGGGGTGAGGTCAGTGTTCTAGGTCCATCTGGCCACCCTCACATAGGAGCAGTCGTTGAGAGCCTCCTGTATAGGGCGAGAACTAGTGACTTCTTCTCACACACTTTCCCCAGCTTTTGGAATGGTTCCCTAGCTTTGTTCTGTTGCATCTTTAACACCTCCCATGGGAGGCAGGTGGATGATCCCCAGCCTGCAGGAGGGGAAGGAGCCCAGCAAGGTAGCACTCTGTCCGAGAGCTGGGCTCAGTGGGTGGTGGTACAGGGACTCTGAACAGAACTAGGAAGCCGTATTTCCTTTGCGAATATTATGGGATAAGAAACAAGACAAAACAGAGCTCCAAGCTCTAATCATTCCATCTGTAAACTGTCTGGCCAGCACACTACTTTGTCATGATCTCTTCCTCTGTTGAGTAGCTGTGATACTCACTAACCTGCCTGTTCACTTGCCAATGAAAATATCTGCCCTTGTAACATCTGTATTGTTTACTCCAAGCCTCCTAAATGCTCCTGACCAGGGCCTGACATGGTCCAGCGTAGAACAAGACACTGATGAGGAGGTGATCGTCCCGTCTGGGCTCAGGAAGCCTGCATCCTCACCTTGTGCTGAACAGCATGTAGCAGGGGCTACAAGTTCTCAAGTATTCACCTCCTATTTCTTCCCTAGATTTTAGTTGCCTTGAGGGCAAAGAGCCTGTTGCCTTTTCCATGTTGAGATCCCCCAAACACTTCTGTGGTTCTGTCACTGCCCTACACGGAGAGGATGAGAAACCCCCTTTTATAAATGTATGTGTTACTTTGTGCATTTAGTAGTTACTAGTCTTGTTGATGGGACATGTATTTAAAGTGTGGCTCACTCAGAATCAGTGTACACAGTAGGCATTCCCAGGCCTTGCTCATGGACTCATACAGTGTCTGGGACCTGGGAGAACCCTGCAGACCAGCTCCTCCAACCCTTCACTGGCCGTGGAGAAACCGAGGCCCTGGAGCACCGCCGGGTCTGCACTTTGTTATATTCTCTGTGCTCTGCTGACACAAGAGACATTCTAACGTGTAATAAAGTATGACGTGTATTAAAAATCCTTAAGTGGGTATGCAGCATTTGACTCTATTAGATCAGGAGAAAAGGCCCTAGGGCTCTGAGAACCGGGTCCCCTAGCAGGACAGTGTGGCCAGAGCAGGAGGAGGCCAGCCAGCGATCTGCCCTTCCAGGCTAACAAGAATGCACTAGCCCAAGGAGCCTCTGCACCTCGGTGCAGGAAAGGCCACAGTGCTGAGGTCTTCCCCACTGAGGCTACAGTTGTATTTTTTAAACCAAGTCTTATTTAAAGAAGACCATCATTAAGATTCTGCATCTAGATATCTGAGGCTTGAATGCTTGCTGGGAAACCACTTGGCTGATTGGTTTTATAGATGGGAGGCCACAGTGTCCCAGGTGACCATCATTCAGAAGCACTCGACAGACATTATAATGAGGACCAGGAGCTCCGCACAGTGCACGGGGCAGCCTGGCCTGATTGCCGAAGCTCGGAGGTCCGAAGTGGCCTCTCATGGAGCCCTACTCTCTGCAGACAGGTGAAGCTATCCAGGCCCTCGCCTTGCAGGCTGGGATCTGAGGCTGATTCATGCCTCATCCCTGCAGAGATTTGTAAAGAGTAATTAAGTGGCTACAATATGGAGACTTTCAAAAAAAGCCTCTTGTGGGTTAGGGTGCTAAAGCATGGAGAAAATCATTCACTCTTTTTTTTTGATGAGGAGCCAGGCAGAGACTTTGCTCAGGATTTTCACTGCTTGAGCAAAATTGATTGATAGACTTAGTTCATTCTCCCTGGAAAGCCTCCCAGGGAAGAGATAGTGCTAGAAGAAGCTGTGAGCTGGACCATGTCAGGCCCAGGTCAGGAGCATTTAGGAGCTTCTGTGAGTACTCCTAATCTACGTGGACACAGTATCCCCTGAGTCTATGAGTACTCCCCATCTACCTTGACATGACATCCCTGAGTCTGTGAGTGCCCCCATCTACCTCGACATGACAGCCCTGAGTCTGTGAGTGCTCCTAGTCTACCTCAACATGGCATCCCTTGAGTCTGTGGGTGCTCCTAGTCTACCTTGACATGGCATCCCTTGAGTCTGTGAGTGCCCTCCATCTCCCTCAACATGGTAGCCATGTGTCCCACTAGGCTTCCCAGTGATGTGGTGCCCACACCATGGAGTAAGCAGTCAGGGTTATCAGTAGACCCAGATGATTTTGTTAGAGACTCAATTTTTGTACATGAATTGATATATTTTTAAGAGTTTACTTGGTATCAGAATGCTTCATGGAAAAAGCCCACACAGACTCCAGGATCCAGGAGAAAGAACTAGAACTTGTTAGCCAAGAATGGCTTTGACATACTAGAGAATGTGCTTTCGACCCAGTGGTGACATACCTTCCAAGACGCTCTATCCAGGTGAGTGGACTGGTTGTTCCTGTTTCCTGGGATAACTCAGGTCAGCTCCCCCCTGAAGCAGAGAGAAGATTCTCCAGGAAAGAGGAGTTTACCTCCCATGTCCCTCCATACCACACATATACACACCACACACATACACACCACACACACATATATACACCACACACCACACACATTCACATACCACACACAGCCCATCACATGCATGCACACACACACACCACACACATTCCATACCGCACACAGCCCATCACGCACATGCATGCACACACCACACACATTCACATACCACACACAGCCCATCACACATGTGCACACACACACACACGCACACACCACACACATTCACATACCACACA